TCCGAACCAAGCGAACCAGAAAGCGTGCTTGAAGGCCTAAGATTTGTTTCCCAAGTCTTCCGGACCCCGCTTTCCAGGCTCCGCCCACCGCCTAAGTGATTAACGAAGCCTAAGAGTTCCTTCATACTACGCCGGCGAGTCGCCGCAGCCCAGCTTGCGGCGTAGTATGAAGGAACCCTTAGGCACGAGTGTTCAATTAAGCGGTGGGCGGAGCCTAGAAAGGTGCAGGGTCTGGAAGACTTTGGAGACGAATTTTAGGCCCAAGCACGCTTTTTTTGCTGCGGACTTCGCTACTCGCTTAGTCTGGAGGCCTACTATCGTAACGCAGTGAGATCTAGGTACGCACCAGTTTGAGGGGACGCTGCCTTAGAACCAAAATCTATCAAAACAGACTATTGCTCACCTTCGTGCCGCCTATATAACCTCCAGCTGCGGCAAAACTCTTCGTTAATGTGCCCATCAATACGTCAACATCTTTGGGATTGCATCCCCAGTATTCCACCACTCCTTTTCCCGTTGGTCCAAGGGCACCTTAATACAAAAGAAAAAGTCCTCTAACTTAATATAGTTTTGAATTCACTTACCTACACTGTGTGCTTCGTCCAAGAAAAGGTATGCCCCATACCTCTTTTTTACCCGTATAAACTCTGGCAGATCCACAATGGTGCCCTCCATGCTAAAGACACGACAATGAAAACGAATTTATTTACTCGCAAGAAAAATTACCTGTAAATGCCTTCAATAACTATGAGGACTTTATTATACGGTTTCCCAGTTTTGGGGCTTACTTCGCACAAGGCATTCCTCAACTTCTTTTCACAGTCTTTCGCATCTCAAAAAACAGAATATTCCATACTAGGCTAGACATAAAAGTTGCAGATTAGAAGAAAACAAAAGTAAGAAAAATTACGAAAACAAAACTGCTAACATAAAATCAAGAATTCTTTTCGTATGAGTCTCCCACTTAGGCCCCTGTGCACGTACATCCCCTCTGGGGAGCGGAGGGGATCTGAGAGGGGATGCGACATAGCT